GGGGGGTATATCCGAGTAAGCATATTGGGGTGCGTATATCAGGGTGAGCCCATTGGGGTGTATACATCGAGGTGAGCTCATTGGGGGGGTATATGGGGGTGCATATATCGGGGTGAGGACATTGGGGTGGGTAGACTGGGGGGGTACAGCAGGAGAACATCAGGGTGAGTATATCAGGGTGAGCACGTCGGGGTGGGTATAGCGGGGTGAGCACATCGGGGTGGGTATATTAGGGTGGGTATAAGGGTGAGTGCATTGGGGTGGGTATATCGGGGTGAGCACATCGGGGTGGGCACATCGGGGTGGGTATAGCAGGAGAACATCAGGGTGAGCACGTCGGGGTGGGTATAGCGGGGTGAGCATTTCGGGGTGAGCACGTCGGGGTGAGCACATCGGGGTGGGTATATTAGGGTGGGTATAAGGGTGAGTGCATTGGGGTGGGTATATCGGGGTGAGCACATCGGGGTGGGCACATCGGGGTGGGTATAGCAGGAGAACATCAGGGTGAGCACGTCGGGGTGGGTATAGCGGGGTGAGCATTTCGGGGTGAGCACGTCGGGGTGAGCACATCGGGGTGGGTATATTAGGGTGGGTATAAGGGTGAGTGCATTGGGGTGGGTATATCGGGGTGAGCACATCGGGGTGGGCACATCGGGGTGGGTATAGCAGGAGAACATCAGGGTGAGCACGTCGGGGTGGGTATAGCGGGGTGAGCATTTCGGGGTGAGCACGTCGGGGTGAGCACATCGGGGTGGGTATATTAGGGTGGGTATAAGGGTGAGTGCATTGGGGTGGGTATATCGGGGTGAGCACATCGGGGTGGGCACATCGGGGTGGGTATAGCAGGAGAACATCAGGGTGAGCACGTCGGGGTGGGTATAGCGGGGTGAGCATTTCGGGGTGAGCACGTCGGGGTGAGCACATCGGGGTGGGTATATTAGGGTGGGTATAAGGGTGAGTGCATTGGGGTGGGTATATCGGGGTGAGCACATCGGGGTGGGCACATCGGGGTGGGTATAGCAGGAGAACATCAGGGTGAGCACGTCGGGGTGGGTATAGCGGGGTGAGCATTTCGGGGTGAGCACGTCGGGGTGAGCACATCGGGGTGGGTATATTAGGGTGGGTATAAGGGTGAGTGCATTGGGGTGGGTATATCGGGGTGAGCACATCGGGGTGGGCACATCGGGGTGGGTATAGCAGGAGAACATCAGGGTGAGCACGTCGGGGTGGGTATAGCGGGGTGAGCATTTCGGGGTGAGCACGTCGGGGTGAGCACATCGGGGTGGGTATATTAGGGTGGGTATAAGGGTGAGTGCATTGGGGTGGGTATATCGGGGTGAGCACATCGGGGTGGGCACATCGGGGTGGGTATAGCAGGAGAACATCAGGGTGAGCACGTCGGGGTGGGTATAGCGGGGTGAGCATTTCGGGGTGAGCACGTCGGGGTGAGCACATCGGGGTGGGTATATTAGGGTGGGTATAAGGGTGAGTGCATTGGGGTGGGTATATCGGGGTGAGCACATCGGGGTGGGCACATCGGGGTGGGTATAGCAGGAGAACATCAGGGTGAGCACGTCGGGGTGGGTATAGCGGGGTGAGCATTTCGGGGTGAGCACGTCGGGGTGAGCACATCGGGGTGGGTATATTAGGGTGGGTATAAGGGTGAGTGCATTGGGGTGGGTATATCGGGGTGAGCACATCGGGGTGGGCACATCGGGGTGGGTATAGCAGGAGAACATCAGGGTGAGCACGTCGGGGTGGGTATAGCGGGGTGAGCATTTCGGGGTGAGCACGTCGGGGTGAGCACATCGGGGTGGGTATATTAGGGTGGGTATAAGGGTGAGTGCATTGGGGTGGGTATATCGGGGTGAGCACATCGGGGTGGGCACATCGGGGTGGGTATAGCAGGAGAACATCAGGGTGAGCACGTCGGGGTGGGTATAGCGGGGTGAGCATTTCGGGGTGAGCACGTCGGGGTGAGCACATCGGGGTGGGTATATTAGGGTGGGTATAAGGGTGAGTGCATTGGGGTGGGTATATCGGGGTGAGCACATCGGGGTGGGCACATCGGGGTGGGTATAGCAGGAGAACATCAGGGTGAGCACGTCGGGGTGGGTATAGCGGGGTGAGCATTTCGGGGTGAGCACGTCGGGGTGAGCACATCGGGGTGGCAGACACCCCCATACCGTGATCTGGATGTCGGCGTCGGGCAGGGGGGCTCCCTGCCCCCCCGGCGTGTAGGTCAGGGTGTAGCGGAGGCGCCCGCCGTAGGAGCCCACCTGCACGGGGAGATGGGGTGGGATGGGATGGGGATGGAACGGGATGGGGATGGGATTGGGACAGGGATGGGGAGGGAACGGGATGGGGACGGGATTGGAAGGGAACGGGATGGGGAAGGGGACAGAGAAAGGGAAGAGGAAGAGGATGGGACAGGACAGGATAGGGATGGGATGGGACACAGGGACGGGGAATGGGAATGGGGAAGGGGATGGGGATGGGATGGGGAAAGTGAAAGGGAAGAGGAAGAGGATGGGATAGGGATTGGGACAGGGAAGGGGTGGGATGGGGAAGGGAGAAGGAAGAGGATGGGGAAAGTGGAAGGGAAGGGGAAGATGAAGGGGATGAGCATGGTGATGGGAATAGGACAGGGATGGGGAAGCGGGAAAGGGGGAAAATGGGGGGGAAGGGGGGGAAAGAAGGAAGAAGAAGGAAGGAGGAAGAAGGCAGGAGGCAGGGGAGGCTGCGCCCACTTCCCCCTCTGGCAGAGCTGCGGGTGAGGCCCCGGGTGACTCCCGGGGCGCCCACGGGAGCGGGTGCAGCCGCCGGCAGGCCGGGGGGTGCCCCCGGGCCCCCCGGCCCCCCG